CAGGAAGGAGACCTGAGCAAACTTTTGAAAAAGTACAAACAGCATCTAAGATGATTAAAGGCCTGGAGAATAAAACATATGAAGAACAGTTGCAGGATTTGGGTTTGGAAAAAAAGGACTAGGGGGGACATGATAGCAGTCTTCCAATATTTGAGGGGCTGCCACAAATAAGGGATTGACTTATTTTCCAAAGCACCAGAAGACAAGACAAGAAACAATGGATGGAAACAAATCAAGGAGGGAAACAACCTGGAGTTAAAGAAAAAGTTCCTAACAGTGAGGACAATTAACCAGCAGAACAGCTCCCAGTCAGAAGTTATGGGTACTTCATCACTGGAGGTTTTTAAGAAAAGACTGGACAGCGACTTGTCTGAAATGGTGTAAGGTCTCCTGCTTGAGCACTAAACCGCCAAGATCCCTTCCAACTCTATTCTGATTGAAACCTACTTTTCATATTAAATATATATTGGCATTACACTTTCAAACAGAAATATAAGAAAAAGATAAAATAACTAATGCAATTATACATGATTATTTCCCTGAACTGTTTTGATAAGCTATTAAACTGAACTTTCTTACTTTACACACTTTTATATCCTTCCTGATATTATCAACATATGTCATAAAATCAGTGTTTACGTTATGGTTTCCTGTCACTTAATTCTAGCCAAATACAACCAAGCATCTAGATTATGTGAACTACCACTGTTACATGGCCACAGCACTAGGTATTAGATTACATATTTACTCTGCTGTTATCTATCTACATACTGCATTATGCTATATGTAATAAATGAAATGGAATATTTAGGCTTTGATATGCCCTATACTACCACAATAGTGAGAAAAAACAACAAATTAAACACACCTTTATAATTTGCACACATATGCAGTTTGTGGTCCTAAATCCCTTACATTTCGTAATTTATTACCCTAAAATGTGGAATTGTGACCTGTCAGTTATCAATCATGTTACATAATATTATTCCAAAAAGCAGTTTGGGAAACTGTCTATGTTGGTTATGGAAGTTCCTGTTATGATTTTCTTTCTAGTTTGATCTATTCTCAATTTATGGCACGTCATTCTTTCAGTCCATCTTAGAATATTATTGCACTCTGTATGGTCCCTGTGCTTTGATATAGAGAGTATATCATTCTTTAAAGTTGTATATCCTTCAGAATTATTTTGCAAAAATGGCTTATTGGCCAAATCTGTTGAAAGGTTACGTTCCATTGCAAGAGAAATTCTCCCTATTTCAGCTTTATCTTTCTATATTTTCAAAATTATCCTAAAACATTTCTCATTACAAGCTTAACCTGATTGGGAATTGAAGGTGAAAAAGAATGAAGTATCCAAATTGCCTTTTGATTATAGTTACAAAATTTTCAGGGGGTGCATTTTACCACCAATCTCAGTGTTCATTCCAAGATCTCCCCCTGAAATGTCAGGTTGGTGGTCTCCTCACTGCAAGAGGCACAGAGAAGCCACTCCAAAAGAGAGATTGATCCTGTCCTTTTCAGGAGATAATAGCCCTGAAATGTAAAGGAGAAAAAAGACAAGGTCCGATAGTCATAAATACATTCACAAAGAAGGAAAGCCCACAATTGTCAAGTAAAGGGGAGGAGATACAGAAGCATCTCCTGATCAGAAAGAAAATAGGAAATAAAAAAAAGACTCACAACTCACAAAAGTGGCAGGCATTTATCCAGAAATAACAGCAACCCACAGAGTAGAAATTCTCAAGTTGTCTCATTTTGATTTGGGTTGGAAAAGTATAGTTGGAGAGTAAAAACATAAGGCAAGTGAACTAACATGATTCTAAGTCATTTGAAAGTGGATCAAAGCCAGACTTTTCTTTCAGTTGCAGGAGCCATTCATTGGGGAGATCTCAGCAGAGCTCCAGGGAAGAGGAGATCCATCCAATGATTCTGAAGAGATTCTTTTCAGGAGGATCCAACTGGGGACACCTTGCCACTTAAATGTGGGTTTCTTGTGAGAAGTTTAAACTACTTTCACTCATGAGCCAAATGCCAAGTCTGTGTGAATTGGAACCTGGTTCAACCTCCAAGGTTGTTTTGGGGATGCAAATGAAGGACAACTCACAAGAGTCTTGAATTTGGAAATGTTATCTGTACATTAGAAGATTTAAATCTTTCCTAACATTTTCCTAAAGATCTGGAAAAACAGTTAAAAAATAAAAGCCATGAAGCGAAGCAATACCAATTATACAAAAACTGATTCAGAAATACCCAAATATATCCACTTTAAAATAAATTACAGAAAGGACAAATTTCTCTCATAAAAACTCCTAATTCAAAGCTGACAAATTTTAATGGAAAGACTGTTGGTCAAGTGGCTTGATTTTTCCAGGGTCATTTACAATATTTTGAAATAGGCCAGGTGAAAAATTCTTAGTACGTATGTCATTTTCTAAAAAAATTGTATTTTGGTTAGCCAGCAACACGAGGTCTCTGCCCAAAACCTCCTTGGTGAGTTATTCCAGTCTTCGGGCGGGGAGGGGGTAGTGCCATTCTACCAATTGGATGCATCTAAGCCATGTTTCCAACAGCAGCATGGAGGAGCTGGAGGGGCGCTTCCCACCCTTAAAGATGTTGTGGACCTGCAGGGCCTATGCCTGTCCTATAAGAAACTTTCAATTTGATCTCTTGCAAAGCTCTCTTTTCTCTTTTGGAAGTAAGAAAGGGAACATTAGAGAGGACTGTCTTATGGGGAAGTTTTTCTTTTTCTTTCTAGGACTCTGATCCCTTTGAGGAGGTGGCTGTGGACTTTACAGAGGAGGAGTGGGCACTGCTGGATTCTGGCCAGAAAGCCTTATGCAGGGAAGTCATGCTGGAGGTTTCTATGAATTTGGCCACTCTGGGTAAAGATCTTCTTTGCTCTGTGTTCCAATCATTGGGAAAGGTGCTTTCATTGGGAGGTAAATGGGGAAGTTACCTGCACTAAATTGCATAAAACAGTCAGAACTCTACCTGGCCATCACCTGCTCTTCTAGGACACAACTAAGGCCTTGGCAGAAACATTCACCATAGCTTTGTGAAAGGCCTTAGATGTTCCACGGAAATGCCTGGCCGGATTGACCTATCAATAGCAAAACCTTAATCTGATTCAGGGCTGAAAAATCCCTTGGATACCGTAAGAGTCACCTGGATATCAATTTGCACCAACTATCTCCTAGCTGACACATAGCTGGTGCCAAATCTGATGCTCAGATGGGCATATTTTGCACTGGGGAGACCCCACCTCTCCATCATTCTAAGTGCTAATGAGAATTTATTTTACTTTTTCTAAGCAGGTGATGGTGATGATCTGAGGAATGAGAATGAAAAGCAGCCACCATTATTTACACTGCAAAATGCACTATCTGCAAAGAGTCATTCCTTCTCTTTTGCATTACCTAACATACCGCATTGGAAACCACACACGTTTTCAGAATATGAGGGGGATTTCAATCTAAGCAAAATGATGAAACTATGCATGAACTGTGGAAAGAGCTTCATTAGCATGAGTAATCTTAATTGCCATCAGAATATCTATATAGGTGAGAGGCTATGTAAATGTCCAGAATGTGAAAAAAGCTTTTGTCAGAAAACAGAGATGATTTGTCCTAAAAAGATCCACACAGGGCTCAGACCATATAATTCCCTGGAATGTGGAAAGAGCTTTTTTGAGAACAGTGATCTTATTCGACATCAAAGGATCCATACAGTGGACAAACCGTATAAATGCCTGGAGTGTGGAAAGAGCTTTGCTCATAAAGGAAAACTTAATTTTCATAAAAAGATCCACACTGGGGAGAGACCATATAAATGCATGGAGTGTGGAAAGAGCTTTATTGACAACTGGCACCTTACTTTCCACCAAAGGATGCACACGGGAGAAAGACCATATAAATGTTTGGAGTGTGGGAAAAGCTTTAACTGGAGCAAAGATCTTATTCGTCATGAAAGGATCCACACTGGGGAGAGACCGTATAAATGCTTGGTGTGTGGAAAGAGTTTTGCTCAGAAAGGATGTCTTACTGGTCATGAAAGGATCCACACAGGGGAGAAACCATATAAGTGCACAGAGTGTGGGAAAAGCTTTGCTCAAACAGTACAACTTAATGCTCATAAAAGAATGCACACGGGGGAGAGACCATATAAATGCTTAGTATGTGGAAAGAGCTTTAATTGGAGCAGAGGTCTAATACATCATGAAAGGATCCACACTGGGGAGAGACCATATAAATGTACGGAGTGTGGAAAAAGCTTTGCTCAAACAGCGCATCTTAATTCTCATAAAAGGATCCACACAGGAGAGAGACCATATAAGTGCTTGGTGTGTGGTAAGAGTTTTGCTCGGAAAGGATGTCTTGCTGGTCATGAAACAATTCACACAGGGGACAAACCATATAAATGCACGGAGTGTGGAAAGAGCTTTGCTCGGACAGGACATCTTTATTCTCACAAAAGGACCCACTCAGTAGAGAAACCATATAAATGCTTGGTATGTGGAAAAAGCTTTAACTGGAACAGAGATCTTACTCGTCATGAAAGAATCCACACTGTGGAGAGACCATTCAAGTGCATGGAGTGTGGAAAGCAATTCAGTCAGAATAGGGCTCTTATCAATCACGAAAGAATCCATACAGGAGACAGACCATATAAATGCACACAGTGTGGAAGAAGCTTTGCTCAAATAGGGGCACTTAATTCCCATAAAAGGATCCACATGGAGGCGGGACCATATAAATGCATGTAGTGTGGAGAAAGCTTTAACAATCACAATACATTTACTCATGAAAGAATCCACATAGAAAAATTCCATATAAATGAATGGAGTGTGGAAATAATTTTAGTGGGAAAGAGCATCTTACTCATCATGAAAGGATCCATGCTGGGAGGAATTCTTCCAAATGAACAAAGTGGAAAGGTCTCCAGTAGAAACTTATCTTAAAATTTGAGGATCTACTGGGGAGAAATCATGTAAATGTAATGTGGAAAAAACTTTCCTTTTTTATAGCAATAGCAATAGCAGTGGACTTATATACCGCTTCATAGGCCTTTCAGGCCTCTCTAAGC